GCTAACCGAGACTGGGCTTTGTCCCAAGCAGGCCACGTAAAATGCATGTCGGCACTCTGTCTGTGTCCACGCAAAAACGACCAACCTTACAACGCGCGCGTTTACAGGTTGACGGAGCGTTGTTGTTGTTGTTCTTCTTCTTCTTCTTATTCTTGTTGTTGTCGTTGATGTTGCCACTGCTGCTGGCTGCGGCTGCTGCTGCTGCTGCTGCCGCTGCCGGTGTTGTTGTTGTCGTTGTTGTTGTTGTTGTTTGTTGTTTGTTGTTTGTTGTTTGTTGTTTGTTGTTTGTTGTTTTTGTTGTTGTTGTTGTTGTTGGTTGTTGGTTGTTGGTTGTTGGTTGTTGGTTGTTGTTGTTGTTGTTGTCGTTGCTGCTGCTGTTGGCCTGTCACTGTCGTTGCCGTTGCGCTGTCATTGTCGCTGGCGTTGTAGTCGACATCGTCGTCGTTATTGTGGTCCTGCTGTGGTTGCTGATGCTGCTGCCGCTGCTGCTGCCTGTTGTGTTGTGGCATGTTGTGCCGGTTGCACTGAACCCGGGATATTCTTTAGGAAAGCCTGCCAAACAGGGGCGGGCTCATGAAGTTCGCCATATGCGCCAGCTGCTGTTGTTGTTGTTGCGGTTGTTGTTGTTGTTGCTGTTGCTGTTGCTGTTGTTGTTGTTGTTGCACCTTTGGTGGAAGCGCGCACTGGGTCCCCATTGACAAATTGGTTGCCACCCCCCCCCCCCCGCGAGCACGCGAGCACGTGTGTTCGAAGAGGGCGCGCGCACGTGCGCGCACGCACGTTCGCAGTGGGCGCGCGCACGCGCGTTCGCACAAGGCGCGCGCACGGGGCGCGCGCGCTTGCGCGCTCGCAGAGGGCCATGCGCAGGGTGCGCGCGCACGCGCGTTCGCAGAGGGCGTGCGCATGCGGTTGCGCACGCGCGTGTTCGCAGAGGGCACGCGCACGGTGCGGCGCGCGCGTTCGCAGAGGGCGTGCGCAGGATGCACGTGCACGCGTGTTCGCACAGGGCGTGCGCACGGGGAGCGCGCACGCGCGTGCTCGCAGGGTGTGTGCGCGGTGCGCGCGCACGCGTGTTCACGGGGCGCGCGTTCGCAGAGGGCGTGGGCATGCAGGGTGCGCGAGCATGCGTGTTCGCAGCGCACGGGTCGCGCGCGCTTGCGCGTTTGCAGAGGGCGTGGGCAGGGTGCGCGAGCATGCGTGTTCGCACAGGGCGCGCGCTCGCGCGCGCGTTCGCAGCGGGCGTGCGCAGGGGTCCCGCGCACGTGCGTTCGCACAGGGCGCGCGCACTTGCACGTGCGCAGAGGGCGTGCGCAGGGTGCGCGAGCACGCGTGTTGGCAGAGGGCGCGTGCACCTGCAAGACTACATGTGGCTTATAATGTGAGGTTTGTCTCTTGTCCAAGATGGGGTTATCCTTAAGTTACATTGGAAAAGTGGGTTACGCTAAGTCACTTTGCCTTGGCAAAAGTGAGCATGTGTGTGAAAGAGAAAAAAACACCACGGGTTTTACATCCCACTAGTGGATGTAAAATTCCCGTGGTCATTTGCATAGTTAGCCCTGCACCCTACATCATGCTATAATGATACACGTACAATGGGTAGTGTCCTTGCATGAGGCTCTGTCTAGACTTGAGGCATATTATTTTGGCACATTGATATTTAACATACGTAGCCAAAAAAGTGGTGGTATAGTGTGTATAGTGTTATAGTGGTAACGGCAGTAGTAGTGGCAACAGCAGCAGCAGTAGCAGTGGAAGTAGTAGAAGTAGTATTATTAGGTAGTAGCAGTAGCAGTGTTGAATACAAGTCGGAGTAGTAGTAACAGTTTGTAGCAGGAGTAGTGGCAGTGCTACTAGTAGTAGTAGTAGTAGTAGTAGTAATAATAGTAGTAATAATAGTAGTAGTAGTCGTCGTCGTCGTCGCAGTGATATAGTAGATGATGTAGCAGTCATAAAAGCATTATTATTGTTGTTATTATTATTATTGGTAGTAGTGGTAGTAGTATTTGTAGTAGTAGTCGTCGTCGTAGTCGTAGTAGTAGTCGTAGTAGTAGTCGTCGTAGTAGTCGTAGTAGTAGTAGTAGTAGTAGTAGTAGTAGTAATATGTTGCCGGAGTAGTAGTGCAGTAGCAGTACCAGTACCAGTAGCAGTAGCAGTAGTGCTAGCAGCAGTAGTGCTAGTAGTAGTCGTCGTGTCGTCGTAGTCGTAGTCGTAGTCGCAGCCG